CACAGCTTAGTTTTGCCAGGATGTTTACAGAAAAGGTACTTTTGAAAAGCGAATTGTGCATTCCCCACTCAAATAAAGAAAATGCTAAATACTTTGGTTCTTACTTTTTTGGTTTAAATGCAGACCAAATGGTTTGGGTTCTGCCTCATCAGAATTATTTCTAAGGTTCTTGTGCTCAAGGTTTCTGACATGTCAGAAAACCATTCGACACTGTTGCATTCTAAGGTTCATAATTAGGTTGGGGATTAATGATGGTGTATCTAAAGAAATCTAAACAAACATTTGCAGTCCAAATTTGATCTTTATTGCGCTTGTTGCATGTTTTCTGACAGAAGAGAAAATGCTTTTTTCTCCTCCTGGGCTACCTAAAGTCTGTTTATTTATGGTGCTGTTTAGATGGTGTTTAAAGGGCTAGTGAATTTGTTGAACTGCGACCCTCTAGAGGGAAAGTTTTAAAGAATCTTCATTCATCACTTCCTGTAGTAACGAGTCACAGAGAGCCAGAAAGAAAACTTTGAGAAACATCTTTATATTTCTGATTACTGTGGAGTGACATTGAACCTAGTTTTTTCTTACAGAAAGCCAGAGCAGAGAATAAAATGGGACGGCCTATAGTCCTTAACAGTATAGGGAATTACAGCAGCTATTTGTCCTATGATATAATAAAATAACACATTTTGCCACTGATAGACACATATAAATACCTTCCCAATCCTCTTTCAATCAAAAATAAATATCGATCCACGCTCAAACTGAGCACCTTGATTTGTGCTTCATAATGACTTTGTCACCATTCAAACCCAGGTTTAAAGCCTTGCAGAGCAGCCTAAAGCCCACTTCTCTCAATAAACCATAAAAAGAAAACAAATATGGTCAGTTCAGGTGTTTTACAAAAGAAGTTAATCAGGAAATTGTCTATATACCTAACTGAAAGATTGCTGTTCTCTACTTCAAAAACCATCTATCCATCCATCCATCTTCTTCCGCTTATCTGGGGTCGGATTCCCGAGTCACCTCAACTGGCTCCTCTCGAAGTGGAGAAGCAGCTGCACTACTCTGAGTCGGATGACTGAGCTCCTCACCCTTTCTCTAAGGGAGAGTCCAGACACACTACGGAGAAAACAATTTCAGTCGCTTGTATCCGGGATGTCGTTCTTTAGGTCGTGACCCAAAGCTCATGACCATAGATTAGAGTAAGAGTGTAGATGGACCGGTAAATCGAGAGCTTTGCTTTTTGGCTCAGCTCTCTCACCACAACAGACTGGTACAGTAAATGCTTCACAGCAGACGGCGCATCAATCTGCCTATCGATCTCCCGCTCCATCTTCCCCTCATTTGTGAACAAGACCCCAAGATACTTAAGCTCCTTCACTAGGAGCAGTACATCCTCCCCAACCCGGGGAAGGCACTCCAACCTTTTCTGACTCAAGACCTTAGTCTCGGATTTGGAGGCACTGATCCTCAACCCAGCCACTTCACACTGGCTTCACACCGCTCGAGTGAGAGCTGTAGATCTCGCCCTGATGAAGCCAATAGAACCACATCATCTGCAAATAACAGAGATACAATCCTAAGGACACCAAAACAAATCTCCTCAACACCTTGGCTGCGCCTAGAAATTTTGTCCATAAAAGTTATGAACAGAATCTGTGATAAAGGGCAACCTTGGCAGAGTCCAGCCCTCACCGGAAACGAGTCCGACTTACTGCCGGCAATGTGGACCAGGCTCTGAGACCGGTCATACAGAGACCTAACAGCCCCTATTAAAGGGTCCGGTACTCCCTGAGTACCCCCACAGGACCCCCCCGAGGGACACGGTCGAATCTCCAGATCCACAAAACACATGTAGACTGGTTGAGCAAACTCCCATGCACCCTCCAGAATCCTGCTGAGGGTATAGAGCTGATCCAGTGTTCCACACCCAGGACCAAAACTATGGACCTCAATCTGAGATTCGACTATCCGACGGACCCTCCTTCCCAGAACCCCGGAATAGACCTTACCAGGGAGGATTAAGAGTGTGATTCCTCTGTAGTTGGAACACATCCTCCGCTTGAGTTGAAAAAAAGAAAAGAAAGACTAAAATAACAATTTAGATTTTAAAATGGAAAAAAGTTCTATTTTTTTCTTTAAAAATTCCATGTATAACATGGATGAATAAACACCTGCATTTTATTTCAGTGTTAAATGCTGTTTAAAGTAACAGATTATAATTAAAAATGTCTCCGGACCTTTACTGGTTGTTAACTTTCTTAATTCCAACCCCACAGATTTTTAATTGGATACCCCTGGTGGAGACTATTGTTCACATTTGCTCAACATCTGATCAAAGTATATCTATCTGGGCGTGCAGATAGCAAAGCGTTTGGCATGCACGACCCATATACGGAGGCCTTTTTCCTCGACATAGCCGACCCGGGTTCGAATCCGACCTGTGGTCCTTTGCCGGATGTCTCTCCCCCTCTCTCATACCCCCTCTCCTGTCTGCCAACTGTCTAAAACCGTTTTTTTTCAACAGTAGTGAAAAAGTAGTAGTGATCTGCATCTGCTCCCTGTATTTACATTTGCTTTTCCTGCCTGAGTAACAACTAACCAATAAAACAAAGACTGTTGTCATGTGGTTTGCAATGACAAGGTTTAGTTTTCCTTTGAGCTTTTTCAGGTAAAAATAAACTGAACCACCTGGAAAAAAGTTAAAGGTTAACGTGTCGGCTGATTTGGACAAGAGCAAATTTATCCTTAACTTTGAACATCAGAGTAGTCTTCATCTTGCGAAGTTGTTTCGTTTGTTTTCTTTGACCTGGTGAACTATAACAGGCTTCAAAGAATAAATCATTCAAAATAGTAATTAAATCTTTATCAGAACATCATTAAAGGAAAACAAAAGGTTAACGCTGTTCTGTTACTAGAACCTAACAAAACAATTTTCTTTGCACATGCTTTAGTCACTATCATTATTAAAAGAAGCCAATTAACCTTTCCAAGTCCAAATGCAACGTTTCCAATAGGTTAATGCTGAGATTTGAGCTGTTCGGGAAAGTCACACAATGTCCTTACGTGAAAGAAAGGAGTGCTTAAATCACACCGAGGGCACCTTAGAGGCTCAGCCTTTCCACAGCTTGCTCTCTAGTGAGGTAGTGTCTGTAGTCAGGGATTGATGCAATCATTACATCACCCCAGTCTGCCTTGTTGCACACAGTTGGGTGCTGGTGGAATGTAAATACTGCCGTTATTCAGAGACGCTGTCATTTCAGATTTATTAGAGATGTGATCCTACAGCACACAATGCATTTCTAACATCTCCTTTCAATCCTCAGTTTCATTTGGATATGGAATTTGCCTGTTCTGTTCATTTTTCTCTAAGGAGTGGGTAATAATTCAATGTCAATATGGCCATTTAATCTTATTCAATAAATTTGATATATTTCCAATATTTCGGTATCTTTACAGTCTATGATTACAGCATTTATGAGGTTTCCATTCTAATGTAATTTTTTGTTTTGTTTTGAAAGTAAAATTAATTAAAATGTTATGTTAGGCAGGAAGTGTGACTTTTTGAGGCTTTTATTTTGTTTATAGGAATAATTTATGATAGTTCAACAAATTTATAATGTTTCAACAAATTTTTTTTTTTAATATATTGTGATTTAAGTTATGGTCATATTTAGGGGGAATGTAGGCCTAGTTGTTAGAGCAGTGCACTTTTGCTCTGAGAAGGTTTGCAAACACCTGTTTGATCCCTACAGCCTCCACTCTGGGTTCCTGAGCAAGGCCCATACTTTTTTTCCCCCTGTTTTTTTGTCTCTGCATTTTACCCCAGCCCTTTATGTTTCATGGAAACCAACAGTTTGTGTGTTTCTAAACACAAGGCCACCATCTTAAAGTTGCACAAAATGACCACCAGTAATTTGACTCTTAAGTTGCAATAAATTTAAACAAAAAAAAAGAAATAAGAATTTTTCATTACCATTTTACAGAAAGTACAGCACAGTTTCTTTTGATGCATATTGAGATGAATGTAAACACTATTCAGGAGGAATTCTGATGGGGATTTATTGCAGTATTGATTGATTTTAGAGATAATGGCAGCACAGAAAATCCACATTCTTTTTGTTTAAAAAAAGATTAAAAGCATTTTTTTAACATTCTTATAATAATAATTCAATTTTATTGTCAATACACTGTCACAAGTACAGAGCAACGAAATGAATTCTCTGCATTTGACCCATCCCCTTGGGGAGCAGTGGGCTGCTATTGTGCAGCGCCCGGGGAGCAGTGTGGGGGACTCTGGGGACCCAGAGTGGCAGTGGGGGATTGAACTCGCAATCTCAGGATACAAAGCCCTATGCCCTAACCACTAGGCCGCCACTCCCCGGCTTATAATCAGAATTGTTCAAAAATAAAATCCACGGGCTTGTAAATGGTAAAAAACAGAAAAAGTTGAAAGTCTATCAATAGACATTTTACTGTATTTCTGTCTTTCCAGGTTTAGTTTGAGCCGATTTAAATTCTCTTCAGATACTCTAATATTTCTGTTTCAAAATTACCTTTTTGGCGGCCAGTTTAAACTCTGTGATGCATAAAAAAAAACAAACTGACTGTAAAACCCAGCTGGAAATTGGACCGCAAATTTTTACAAAACCACCTTCTTTCCTCCTGGGTTCTGATCTGTGAGGCTCATTTTCAGTCGCCTCTCAGGCATGCAATGATTTTGTGCTGTTGGAATTGCCCACAAGATTTTTTATCTCCAGAAAAGCAGGCAGATGTTCAGAAGATGGAGCCCAGTGAAAGAAACCTGCCTGTGAACTGAGAATCATCGCAGAGGGAAAGAGAAAGTCGTGTCCAAATAAGACAAATCTGATTAGCTTAGTTGGAGTTCCTGCTCTCAGGGATGATTGCTTTCTCCACAGGGGGTTTTGTCTTTTAAGTTTTCGATGAAAGTTACTCTGTTTTACATCCGCAGCATCTGCTGATGATTATTGGTTCTGTGTTGCTTTCAGGGTCTGCTGACTTCTGGAGTGGAGTTTGAATCTCTGCCAGCTGCTCTATCCCTGCCTGCTGAGTCTGGTCTCTACCCCGTTACTCTAGTTGGAGTCCCACGCACAGCTGGCAACATCACGGTCAACGGTTAGTCCCACATGCTTTACGTTGCTCAGACTTTACACGTCGTTTTGTGCCTGCTGAATCCTCACCAGCTGCTCTCTCTCTCTCTCTCTCTCTCTGGTTGCAGGTTACCACACGTCTGTGTTCGGTGTGAGCAGCGATTGCCTGCTGGAGGGTCTGCCTAGTGTTAAGACGAGTGGCTGCTTGGTGGAAGTCATTCCCTCTCTTCCTCGTCTTCAGCTCAGCACATCACTTCCACGGTTAGAAACACGTGTTGCCTTGCAGCATTGGTCACCTTTGATCCGTCTGTGTCATCAGTGCTTACAGCTACTCTAAAGTTGTAGGGAAGTCATATTTAAATCATTCTTGCTTAAACATGTTTATTAATGTACTCTTTATCAGACCATATTGTCCCGAAAGTTAGAAAATTTCTATAAAAAAAAAAATTCTGTCTTAAAATCTGTGGGGATTTTTTTTGTTTTCTTATGCAGGCCAGTTAGTTATACATCAGCTTGTACACCTAAATTCGGCCAGTCATCTGTCAATCAAATTTTTCGGTCATAGCATCTTGATTCATATGTCACAGCTAAAATACGGAATGGTTGAAACAAGAAATAAGAATCATTTCCTTTCCCATTGAGTTCCATTCCAGTGTTCACGGGGATGGACGTCTGTGTCTTCAGCAGGCATAGAGCTAACAGAACTGGCAGCGTTGCGAGGCAAGGGCTCAAACATGTACGACTGTAAGCCTTCTACACCAAACCAAGCTTCTGCCGCCCTGGCGTCCTCTTCCACAACATCTTCATCCCCACTTTCCTCCTCTAAATAAAAAAATGTATGACTGAGGAGACTCATCCCCGAACCTCCGACAAAAAACTCTGTTTCCGCTGTCCATTTAGTGCTACTTGGTCCCAATGTAATTTCCCATTGGGAACCTACTGGCACTAAGTTGCTAACTGGTTAGCAAGATGCTTCCGACAAACCGGCTACAACCAAACTTGCTTGCGAACATTCCACCACAACAATCCAGCCCTCTTGATAATCGACCAATCACATCCACTTTATACACTTTTGTAAATTCATGCACCACTCGGGAGAATTTGGAAATGCAACAGTTGGAACAGCCGCTTCCCTACGACTATAAGGTCACATGTAAACGTCGGGTCAGAACTGCTGCCTGATTAACATCGACTGATGAAGTAATGAGCAGATCTTCTTTAGACACACCACAAAGTCTTATAGATGTCTGTTGTTTCTGTTAGTTTGTCAAATATCTTGACTGAAAATAAGAGCTGTAATTTGTTAAACATATTTAAGGGTGTAACTAATGATTATTTTGCAAATCGATTAATCTGACCACAATTTTTCCGCTTTGTTGATTAATAAGCCAAAGGTTACTTAAAGAGGATTTTTTATTAAATTAAACCAGGAGTTCTGGATAGAGCATATTGACAGACCAAACATTTTTTTTTTTTTTTCATTTTAAATGCAAAATGTTTATCAGGGGTTGACGTTAAGGATTTTTCTCAGTGAAAATAGGGCAAGTGATTTTCACATTTCATTTGCCCAGAAACAATTTTTACTGGCCCAGTATACTGTTTGATAAATATAGTTCCTAATATTCATTTTTGTATATATATATATCAATGAAACATGTTTGTTTTTAAATGTTTTTTGTAATTCAGTATTTTTTTAGTTTCCAGGTTCCTGTTGTGTATATGCATGCGTCAGATACCGTAATGAACTCAAGCCTACATTACCGTGTTAACATGCTTTTCAATCCTTCCTGCACATTCTTTTCAAACTAAACTTTGCTTTAAACTGTTGTGTGCTTGGAAAAATATAAATTGTAATGTTAAAAATCTAAAAAAAATTTGACAGGTTAAAAACTTAAGATAAATCACAAGACAGAAGTCAATGTCACAAATGAATAACTTTTATTTTAGAGTCACGTTATGTTTATACAAGATAATACTATTAATATAATGTGACTTTTCTAGAGAATCATTATACATAGTTATTTTATACAGGGTTTCCACAGTCTAACATAATTTCAGAATTCCCTGACTTTTAACTGACTCAGGATTAGTTTTACCTGACAAAATAAATGCAGAAACAAGACAATAATAATAACATAACAGGTCACCAATTTAACATGTTTAGCTCTATAACATTTAAATGCACCTCTCCAATGTCTGAGAGAAAAAAAATGTATGAAAATTTTTTAATGCATGACCTGCATCACTGTACAGAAGACTGTCATATGATAGCGCTTTCTAGCTTGTTTGTCGTTTTGGTAACTACATCAAAACTACCGCTAGGTGGACGAAAATCACCCGGCTTTTTCAAATCACGCAAGAATGTGTTCAAAACAACAAAAATGGCGCCGGCAACGCTTGTGGGTCGTTTTCAGCGAATGTCTGTGATTTTAAAGTAATTTTGAGTGATAAATAACATTTTTTGTGATCATTGCACTTGTCCGGCGGGCAAATGCAATGAAATTTGTACTCTCCCAACAATTAAAACTACTTGCCCCGGGCGATCGGGCAATGGTTAACATCGAGCCCTGTTTATATATATTTTTACAATTTTGACAGGAATCAATGCTCTAATTTAGTCTCCCTGTCAGCTAGAGCAATGTTTTACAGTCTCTATGCTACAATTTACAATTAAGTGATTACTAAAGTATATTGAGAGTGCTCAGGGTTGCCCATTATGTCCTTATTTTATGAAGCATCTTTGTTTGCACAGTCATCTCAACAGCAGTCCCCAGAACAAACAGCCTTTTCTATAATCTGTTTGAAGTTGCTGGCTCTGATGCTGCTACAACAGATTTTGCCAGAAGTAATTTCCCTCTCCATAAACTGCAGCATCTTATTTCTAAACATGAAACACCTTAGCCCCCCCATGGCTCTGTCCAGGAGGTATGTATACCCATCTATTTCTGTCTTTTTGTTGTGAATGATGGGTGATCATTTCCCCTTGGGTCAGATCATTATACCAATAGTTCATCTTCAAGCACATGAGTCTTCTTAGAGAGAAGAAGAAAGTAAAAGCATTTTTCAGTGTCTCTTCATGACTAAAACAGAGCCCCTAAGTTATCAGCGGTTTGCATATGACCTTAGGTAAAATATATGGAGCATCTACTCCTTTATTCCTCTCTAAGGCTACATTCACACAGCAGCATGAAGTGACTCAAATCTGATTTTTTTGCCCCTATGCGACCTGTATCTGATCTTTTCATGGCATTGTCAACAACAGAGATACATTTTTTTCCAATGCGGCACAGGCCATTTGGCTATGTGGTTCTAAATCTGATACATATCTATGGAGCTAGATCGGTCTTAATGTTCACAAATACACATATGTGATTAATACATGCACAGGACAAGATTCACACATGCAAAGCACGATTCCCACTAGCACAAAAAAACACAATCTTGTCCCTTGTCACAGACGCACAGAACGATTGACGCAAGCACACAACATCCACACATGCACAGAACAAGATTCAGCAAAGTATTTCTGGTACATAAACAATTATAAATTAAATGACCAAGTACCAGTGGTCTTTCAACTTTTTGAGACATAAATGTGACATCTGGACATAAAGGGAAAAAAAAGGGAAATGAAGACAAAGACAATGAAATCTGCTGCACCCAAAATGCACCAGGGAGCGTTATCACAGATCCTTCCTCCCAGCAGCTGGAAGACTCTAGAACCACCACTGTTTCCAACAACCTCAATAAATTGTAACTCAGTATACTGTTAAAACACTTCACAGTACATGATTTTATTTTTTAGTTTTTTTATTCTTCCCCATTATGTTATTCTTATACATTTTTCTAAGGTCCATATTTGTGTGCCAATTTTTCTATAATCTTTTTGCTGCTGTAATCACCAGAATTTCCCCATTGTGGAAAAATAAAGGGATTTTCTTTTCTATTTTATTCCAAAAAAACAATCTTAAAACATTACTTAATATATCTGTTGTAAATGTTCTGTTATTCGCAACAGGAAATAATGTCGTATCTTGTTCTAATCCTTGTTAAATGGAGGTCTAACTGAGCACAGGTGAGGTCGTTTAAAGCCAGAAACATGCAGACCAGCTGCTTCAGCAAAAACCCACAGTTTTAGGTTTACCTGCAAGTGCAGCTTTTGATCTGAGTGTTAGTTTGTTCATAGGACCAAAGGGGAGAACTGCTGCAGACAGAGCAACTAAAAAGAAAACAAAATGTTACACATGGTCTCTGAGGGGTTGGGGGTTCACAGTGTCTACAGGGAGGCTTTCTGTTTTGAATTCAAAGCTTTCAGAGGCTCTACAAGCAGCATACAAGCACAGCTACAGCACATAACGTTACAAACATCCCAGTATGCTGAGTCAGGCTTTCTCAGCAGGTTTGGTTTCAGAACTCTGACTGATTTCAGAGTTTTTTTTAAATGTATTTACTAAAAGCCAGATACTGGTCCTCTGTTTCCATACTGGTCCTCTCTGCCCGATACTGGTCCTCTCTGCCCGATACTGGTCCTCTCTGCCCGATACTGGTCCTCTCTGCCTCATACTGGTCCTCTCTGCCCGATACTGGTCCTCTCTGCCAGATACTGGTCCTCTCTACCCGATACTGGTCCTCTCTGCCCGATACTGGTCCTCTCTACCTGATACTGGTCCTCTCTGCCCGATACTGGTCCTCTCTGCCTCATACTGGTCCTCTCATCCTGATACTGGTCCTCTCAGCCCGATACTGGTCCTCTCAGCCCGATACTGGTCCTCTCTGCCCGATACTGGTCCTCTCAGCCCGATACTGGTCCTCTCTGCCAGATACTGGTCCTCTCAGCCCGATACTGGTCCTCTCTGCCTGATACTGGTCCTCTCTACCTGATACTGGTCCTCTCTGCCCGATACTGGTCCTCTCTGCCTCATACTGGTCCTCTCTGCCTCATACTGGTCCTCTCTGCCTGATACTGGTCCTCTCAGCCCAATACTGGTCCTCTCTGCCCGATGCTGGTCCTCTCTGCCTGATGCTGGTCCTCTCTGCCCGATACTGCTCCTCTCAGCCCGATACTGGTCCTCTCAGCCCGATACTGGTCCTCTCAGCCCGATACTGATCCTCTCTGCCAGATACTGGTCCTCTCTGCCAGATACTGGTCCTCTCTGCCAGATACTGGTCCTTTCTCCCTGATACTCCTAATACTGGTCCTCTCAGCCCAATACTGGTCCTCTCTGCCCGATGCTGGTCCTCTCTGCCCGATGCTGGTCCTCTCTGCCCGATACTGCTCCTCTCAGCCCGATACTGGTCCTCTCTGCCCGATACTGGTCCTCTCAGCCCGATACTGGTCCTCTCTGCCAGATACTGGTCCTCTCAGCCCGATACTGGTCCTCTCTGCCTGATACTGGTCCTCTCTGCCAGATACTGGTCCTCTCTGCCAGATACTGGTCCTTTCTCCCTGATACTCCTAATACTGGTCCTCTCAGCCCAATACTGGTCCTCTCTGCCCGATGCTGGTCCTCTCTGCCCGATGCTGGTCCTCTCTGCCCGATACTGCTCCTCTCAGCCCGATACTGGTCCTCTCTGCCCGATACTGGTCCTCTCAGCCCGATACTGGTCCTCTCTGCCAGATACTGGTCCTCTCTGCCAGATACTGGTCCTCTCTGCCAGATACTGGTCCTCTCTGCCAGATACTGGTCCTCTCTGCCAGATACTGGTCCTTTCTCCCTGATACTCCTAATACTGGTCCTCTCTGCCTGATACTGGTCCTCTCTGCCTGATACTGGTCCTCTCTATCTGATACTGGTCCTCTCTGTCCGATACTGGTCCTCTCAGCCCGATACTGGTCCTCTCAGCCCGATACTGGTCCTCTCAGCCCGATACTGGTCCTCTCTGCCCGATACTGGTCCTCTCTGCCTGATAATGGTCCTCTCTGCCCGATACTGGTCCTCTCTGCCTGATACTGGTCCTCTCAGCCCGATACTGGTCCTCTCAGCCCGATACTGGTCCTCTCTGCCAGATACTGGTCCTCTCAGCCCGATACTGATCCTCTCTGCCCGATACTGGTCCTCTCTGCCAGATACTGGTCCTCTCTGCCAGATACTGGTCCTCTCTGCCAGATACTGGTCCTCTCTGTCCGATACTGGTCCTCTCTGCCTCATACTGGTCCTCTCTGCCTCATACTGGTCCTCTCTGCCTCATACTGGTCCTCTCTGCCTCATACTGGTCCTCTCTGCCTGATACTGGTCCTCTCAGCCCGATACTGGTCCTCTCAGCCCGATACTGGTCCTCTCTGCCCGATACTGGTCCTCTCTGCCAGATACTGGTCCTCTCTGCCAGATACTGGTCCTTTCTCCCTGATACTCCTAATACTGGTCCTCTCTGCCTGATACTGGTCCTCTTTGCCCATACTGGTCTTCTCTGTCCAGTACCGCTGATTACCGCTGATTTGTAAACAAGAGATCCAATGTATCTTGTTGCTTTTGCGTAGAGTTTATGTTTTACTTTGTGTTTGAGTCTGTACCTATGACTTAAGTGATGGTCAAACACAAGGGTTATTACAGTTTACTGCACATGATTGAGAAACGTAAAAAATATTTTTTTCTTCCCAATACGGTTCTGGATCTCTGTTACTGAAATATATCTGTTTGTCGTTTCCAACATACAGATCAGCTCACACAAATCAGCCCATGTCCAAAGAACAGCTCTCCAGCTCTGTGTCCATCCAGCTGTTTAACGGAGAAAAGCAGCAAGTGACCATCACCTTGGAAAACATCGGGACCGAAGACATTGAGAGTCTGGAGCTGACCTCTAAGACCGTCAACACCAAAGGTGAGAACTTTAAGCCCTGCTGATTTCTTTCAACTTCAACCGGTGTGTCTTTACGTTAAAGAGAAAAAACACAGGACTCATGAAGGGATAAACAAGCACAGGATTGAAGCAAAAAGCAGGTTTGCTCTGTCGTGTTTTGTCAGGACAGCCTTTGAAGTTCTGTTTCACACAGAATCACCTGTCTCTGTGGCTGCGGTGTTGCTCGGGGTCACCACCCTATTTTCTTTGCTTCTGGATCCGTCATGCCCCTGTGGCTTTTAGTTTATCTTTCATCTCTTTGTTCAGCACCTGCTCACACCTCCATCTCTGCAGTACTGCTTGCTGCGACTGCTAATGTGTCCCTGTTCCCTCTTCATCCTACTGTCTGTGGCAGAAGCTTTTCTTTTGAAACTTTCACCATGAACTTCTAGTTTATTTATGACAGGTTTGGAGAAGTTAATCAGAGGTTAGATATTACTTTTATCTGACACCTCAGACATGTAGTTCTGATTTGATTCTTGTTGATTCAATTCAATTTATTTCTATAGCGCCAATTCACAAAACATGTCATCTCAAGGCACTTTATAGTTCAACCAGATCATCCAGTCAAATTGATTCAAAGTTTTCTATCTAAGGAAAGCCAGTTGATTGCATCAACTTATTGACTCTGAGGCAATTTCTCACACCAAGCATGCTTGTAGCGACAGTGGAGAGGAAAAACTCCCTTTTAACAGGAAGAAACCTCCAGCAGAACCAGGCTCAGTGTGAGCGACCATCTGCTGAGGCCGACTTGGGTTCAAGGAGACAGAAGCAGACAGAAAAAGAATCAGAGATACAGAAGGTAACTGTCAACCAGCTCCACAGGCGGCCCTGTCCAGGAAACACACAGCCATGCAGATGCAGAGAGCACATACAGTTAGTCACAGTAAGAGAAACCGGACTACACTAAAAAACAGGCCAAGCTCCAACATCTATAAACAAAGGTGTTGAAGGTAGCAGCACAGCTGATATTTCTCTCCAGGATGTAGTTACAGCCAAACAGGAACAGACTGGGCGAAGCTACTATGAGAAAAAGCAGAGAGAATATAACGTTAGAGATTAAACTAACAAATACTCTAGAATAGGTAAATAGTAGCCTGACGTAGTCCTACTCAATTCTAGTCAGAATATGAGTCTGATACTGCTCCATAGAGCTGTGATTATGGGGCGTGTTTTGAACGAACCAGGAAAAAAAATGCCTCTGCACTCAATTGGATAGACCTACAACCAATAAGAGCAACGGAGTGCGTGACGTATGTTAAGCGAGGCATAGTTGTTGTCAACAAAAATCAAAGCGTGCAGTTGCACGCCTAGAATAAGAAGATGAGCCTTGATCGCATTTCTCTGTTCCTCTTTTAAAATTAATTTTCTGTCGATATCTTCTAGAACAGACCTAATAGCAGAATCTACTCACCTCAACTCTCCGGCGGCAGCCATTGTTGTTGTCACCCAAGCGCGCTTTGGTCACGTGGTTGATTACGTTACTTTTGATCATCTGTCCATCATTGTATAAAGCCCGCCCTGACAATTTGATTGGATCGCCAGAGGGTGGGCGATCATACTCGCGCTACTATGGAGCAATGCCAGACCGAACTTCCCGACCTCAAACCTTGTGGGCGGGACTAAGTTCGGAATGGCACCCAGGCTAGGTAAATAGAGGCAGAATCATGAAATGGGGGTTCCTATGTCCTCCACAAGTCTAAGCCTATAGCAGCATAATTATAGAGATAGCTCAGGATAACCTGAGCCACTCTAACTATAAGCTTTATCAAAAAGGAAAGTTTTAAGCCTAGCCTTTAAAGTAGACAGGGTGTCTGCCTCATGGACTAAAACTGGTAGTTGGTTCCACAGGAGAGGAGCCTGATAACTAAAATATCTTCCTCCCATACTACTTTTAGAAATACTAGGAACCGCTAGTAAATCTGCTGATTTAGAGCAAAGTGCTCTGTTAGGAACATAAGGAGCCATCAGATCTTGTCGTAGGCAACAGGTGTGTTCAGGCCTTTAGTTGTTATGGTCTCTCATATACCACACTTAAATTCCCAGAGATGAGCATCTGTGAGACGCAGTGCTGTACTATGATGAGTGTTCCTCCTTTACCACTCAAATTCCTAAGTATCTCTGTGAGAGCGGTTTCTTCACTCTGATTCGGTCAAAGACAAAACACAGAGGAAGATTAAACATTGACCTCAAAGTTGCTGAAGTGGAAAAGCTTGTCCGTGCCTTCAGAACAGCTCTTCTGAACATATCACTCCTGTTCACCAGCTTCATGTCTCTTTCCTGATAACCTATATCTCCCTTTCCAAAGTCAGCACAGTATGGACCATCTTAGCAAAACTACTCCTTCACTTTGCGCTCTCCCTCTCGTACTCTCTTCTCTTTGAACACACAATGTCTATATATTCCCAAGACTCGCTCTGGTTCTGTTAGAGTCCGGGCCTTTTCCTGAGCTGCTCCTCTGCTCTGGAACACTTTTTCTCTACATATAGGCGCTCCACTATCATATTGCCTTAAATTATACATAATGTTTAAATCTTTAACCTATTTTTCTTTGCACATATTTCACACTCCCTGTTTTTTATTCCAAGTCTTTTATTAGCAGTTTCCCTGAAATTTCACTGTAAAATTGATTTTTTGTCAAATTCTTATAGTTTTGTTTACTATAACATCAGACTTTAAGGTGTAATCAGTGGAAAATGTAGCTGCTGAAAGATTATCATCAGGTGACCAAATGTCCTTTGCATAAATGCTTTTCCTTTTCTTTTGTTCTTGATTTAAACTTTTCTAGCTTATGAATAAAACCTGCTGAAGCAAAATATTGTTTATGGTTATCGTTTTAATGAATTGATTCTCAGTGCTAGAATATGCAATTAAAAATGAAAGTCTTTTTGAACCTTTTTATGTCATGTATTTTAGAATAACAACAAAATCTGTGAAAAAATCTGTTTAGCTAATCAGCATGGTTGTTTTTTTCAGCAGGAGTATTAATGCTTGAATAGGTGACTGAATTACAATAATTCACCAAAATATACGCCTAACGGACTGCAGTTTGTTTATAAGGGATGATGATCCACACCTGAAAACACATCTACAGTGGAAATACCAATGTTATCACTGTAACAAATCCTACAGTAAGGAGGATTGTGTGACCTTGTAGCACCCATGTTGATTTCTGATTCACTGTTCAGGCAATGGAGCTGACAGGGTGGAGATTCTGGTCTCCTGCTCATATTTCGGTATATATTTTTTTCTAATATTTGCTTCAGGTTTAAACCTTAAAGGAAAAGTCCGGTCAGCAAGGAATAATCAATGGATCGTTATCAACACCTAAAACTAAGACGTTCACGGTAGGGCTGGGCGATATAGAAAAAAAGCTTATCGATTAAAAAAAATGCATATTGATCGATATCGATAATTATTGAAAAGATTTGAAACCATATTTTATGTGCAGCTCTGCCTGGACTTTTTATAATATTGCTAAATGATTTAATTTTAATAAAGAACACAAACACAGACTTCCAATTAAATCTTTATTTAACCAACTTTTTTTAACCATAACAGAATTGTTTTAAAGAAAAATAACTTAGGAGACCTGAGTTATGTTATTAAATACTGACAAAGAATAACTACAGTGATCAGAAAAGTGACCAAAATAAATCTAACAAATAAATGGACCCCCCCGCCCCCATTCTTCTAAGCTGAACCTGGTTCAGCTTAGTTTCCTGCTTGAACCTTAGTTATTACTTTGAAGTTGCTGGCCCCTCAGCATTTTTCTCTCAATTGTTAGAACTACGTGGGAAACTGCCCAGAACTTTATATATATATTTTCCTGAAATTCCCGAAAATTCCTCGGAGGCGATGCAGAGCCGCGCCGGGGCCTGCACAGCTCATACTCCTGCGGGTGTGAGCGGCTGAGATGATAAAAAAAAGTTGGTTGTGTTATCAGACTTGGTTTTCACTGGTTCCCTACACATTTTACAGATGACCGTGGTTTGTTTTTTGTCCGACTTGCCATGACCGAAATACTGCCAAACTGGCGAACTACAAAAACAATGTCCTCTGCCTCTCCTTGCTGCACAGCTTCATGTGCTCTGTGTTGTGGTTTGAGAGGGTGGTGCTTGGTGACGGCATGCCTGGGTCCGCGATTGTGATTGGTTGGGAGGAAGCAGTGACTAGCATAAACCTACATGATAGGCTACAATGAGAAGGAAGGAAAACTGCGTTTCTTTATCGAACTTTTATCGACACTGTTTTTTTCTATTGCGCCACACGTCTATCGATCGATATATATCGTTATTGAATTATCGCCCAGCCCTAGTTCACGGTGATTTAATGAATTTAGCGTTAATCAGTAAAAAAAGGAAAATAATAATTTTCGCCACGATCACTGAGTCAGGGAATGGCCTTTTTTGCCCAAATATAGTAACACCTCAGTCCTGACATCTTCCAGCAGTGACGTCACGGTGTGGTAAGCCTAGCGCCATTCTCCCCGCTTTACAAGCAACATCAATGGGAGCTACTAGACACATCTGCAATCAACAACAATTATTGAAGATTTCCAGAGGACTTCACCATTGAAATTCACCAGAGCTATAGTTAAACTGACAATGCCCACATGCATGGCACTTGGATGTTGCAACACACCGGGTAAAAGTGGAAAAAAAAAGAGTTATTTCACCTTTCCGATTCCTGATCCTCCACGGATGGGTTTGTCGTTGGATTGCCAACTTGAAGAGGGAGGATTTGACATCGAACTTCTGGCCAGAGAAAAAACACATCATTAATCTCTTACTCTCTACTTCGCATAGCGCACTGGTCGTCGCCATCCTGGATAATAGCGCGTTGTGACAAACACCAGATACAGCACTGGGACTTGATCAACAGCCGATACCGCACCGTGACGTCACAAACCAGTAGGTGGCAGTAGTGTTCTTTGACAAACTTGGATGCCTCCAGGAAAGCCCATTCACATGAAAATTACT